GGCTACCCTTCTTCATGTTCTATATTCTGTTATTAGAGCTCATAATACTCCTGTACATTTCTTAATGCTGTTTCTCCTTGACATTGYGTACCTATTATGACGTCATATGAGTACGAGAATCACTATGGAGACCAGACGAATGGTCTCAGTAAGGGAACTACGTTGATACCAAATAGACCRCCATCACGTGATCCTACCAGACCCAGAAAACCTGTTGACTATACCATCATTGGTCAGGTTGAAGCCAGTGAATCTTAGTTGGGTAGGAAACTATGACCGTAATAATATAGCTCCAATCCCCCCCATGCAAACACTCCTCCCCAATACAGACGCATACATGTGCACTCCAAAGAAATTCTAGACTGTACCCCCTTAGCTGGGTCGTGGGTTCGAATCCCAGTGAGGTTAGAAATTAATTTTTCGTCTTTCCCCCGGAATAACGTCCTTCCTAGCACTATATTTGCTTTATTTCTATACCATTATGTTGAGAGTCGATTGTGACAGAAAAGCAGCTTGTCAGTGAGACAACTGATTTGTAGTCTTTTGAATATTCATTGTTTTGGCCTTCCAAATGAATCTGTATTCCCATCTCTTGTTACRTCTTGTTAGGACTTTTCTAATTATTGATGTTTTATATGTTTCAGGGTGTTTACAGTGTTGAAGAGTGACTCTGTACATAAAGCTATTTTTATTGTGAATTGTTTACTTGTATAAATTGGAATATAAATAAAAAACTTTGGAATGATATTCTTTGTCAAGAAATAAAATCAAATAAAAACCAACAAAGGAACAAAATAAATCTGGTGGATGGCACTWAAGTTTACCCTTTGCACAAAGAAAACCTGAATCTAACCATAATTTCATACATCGCAAGTACACATAAGATGAACATTTCTCACCATGTACAGGAGTTTCATGATTTGGGGTTCCAGATTTATTTTGCAGTTTCAAAACCGTAAATTTCGGATTCACATCCAACAAATGTTATAAAATATCTGAAAATATGTTATCCTATTGATTCTTATAGAGTGATCGCACTTAATCTGTGCAACTGTACAAACTAAATAGTTCTATTCAGTTGTATTTAGTAAATCGTGAATTCAGTACACAAATTAAATTGAATTGATACAAATGAAGCATTCAATACCGTCTTGCTTCAGGTCCACTTTTAGTTCAAATTAGTACTAATTAGATTTTGTACATTTGCATGCTTTAAGTGAGATCCCTCTATTTCAAAGACTTCGACCAAGGAAAGTTGTTTCTGGAAACCCCCCATGTGCAGCTTATTTCACACTAGGATTTTCAGAATTCTACACAGTTTTTCCTTTAACCAATAAAAATACACATTCAATCATGCAACTCTGCCTTTATTATAGAAAACATACTAAAACGTAATCATCCAAAATATTGTAATCAATTGTTAAATCACAAAACATCTAGAAGGGTCACAAGACAACTAAACTAACAAACTACAAAACATCACTAACTTCCTTAGAGAAACAGCTTTGAATACRTCAGACATTGTAAACAGTGTTTGCTCATTGTTTGCTGAACAACCTTTCTTAACATCTGTCTCAACCTGAATCTTCATGACATTTATCAATCAACAATCATCCAACCCATCTTACCACAAGAAATACTAGCCTATACTGATCATTATCAACAATCACCTGTTCCACATTACTACAATAAATACTAATTACTACAGACAAAAGAATCAAAGAAATCTGAGCAATAAGGACTACTTTGATCAAAAATCTCTTGAACTCAAAATACAAAAATTAAATGATTTTGACACACATTCATGATCACAACTGATGCAACATAAGTACAAATAGCCTGTGTTRCATCCGGAATTTCYATCTAATTTCCGTCTGTGAAAATTAGCTAGAAATTCCRGATGTAACACAGGCTAAAGTACAAAGTGAGATGCTGTGKTTTGGGTTTTGACASRMTATACTGTTATCTATTWTGCACAATTTAATCACCAAGTGCCAGTTGCATGATGGATTCCTAAATAAGCTTATATCTGAAACTCTACATGCTCATTCCCTAGGATGGCTCAACAAATTCTTGAAAAACAAATTAGGCCACAAAATATAATAAAAAAACATTCCTATAAGTGAGTGATGCTATTACTGCATATCATCTACATTGTGGCTGGATCACGATGCATCCATGCAGCCATTGTGATCATTGTTGTTCAATGTAATCATTGTTGTTCAATGTAATCATTGTTGCTCATATTTCTTTGATGTGGACCCTTCTTCTAGTTTTTTTTATATATTACAAGTACATTTGATAGATAAATCTTGATGTAAAGAAATATATTATCATCATCATCTCATAGAAAACGTAAATCTGTGTAAGTATCCTCTTGGTAGGACTATAATATATGCTATACAGGACTGTTGTCTTTTGGGATTTGTTCACACTAGCACTGAATGCAAAAACCGTCAATCAAACGCCATGGTACTTTAGTCTACGATGCTCAAAAAAAAGTCAAATTTCAATTTGAGCTGTGACTATGCAGCTTCCAGCTTATTCTTACTAAAACCTTCTTGTAAAACTTGCTTTGATAAACTTTGCAGCATCTGATCCAGGAACAGGGCTAGCTAAAGAACACGACTTACACTGAGCAGTGCAAGGTGATTCTTTGTTTGAAAATCTTGAAAGACAACAGCAATCAAGGCAACAGCAATCAAGGCAATCAAAGTAACAGCTTCAAAAGCCTGTTTTAAAAGAAGTYTCTTGTACCTTGACCAATGTAATGCCATGCAATACAATTCTAGTGTGAACAAGGCTGTCAATCATGGACTAGTTTTGCCCCAAACCTTCTTGAAAAGAATACACAATCATATCATATATCAATACATTTCTTGGATGGGAGAATCTAACAGACCTTTCCCAAATTCACACAGACTGGCCACAAAACTAGCAATAAGTCTTGTGAATTCGAAAAAGGYATATCCAACTGAGACCATATAGTCCAAAACAGTGCAGCTTCATCTAGAGGCCAATGAAATGGATTRCAGCTCCACCAGAYGGAGCTATCTCACATACAATGTGTCGTTCTATACAGTCATCAACACCTCATTTTACAGTCTCATAAGGATCTTSGAACTGTACAATGAAGTATTTAAGAAAAGCTCTTTAGCAGTCTCTTAGTGTTCAGTTAGTGCTATTTAGTGCTAGAAAATACTGTTTAATGATTATTACGTAATATTAGCAATAATTAGTTCAAAATGTGTTAGTGTTTGATGAGATTGATTCAAAAGTGCATAATATCCAAAAGAAGGTTTGGTGGTAGCATTTCTATTCTTCTATATAATAAAATAAGCTCTGAGCAAGATAGATACTAAAATACCTCGTTTGCAATAACTAAGAATTAGATTTTGTAAAATCAGCATTAATTGAAGTGCTTTGTTAATCCAATMTAWAGCCTCTATGCACCCAATTCCCATACAACAGTCATCATATATTACTACAACACCATATTAGTAAGCTTGGTTGTTATGGTTACCAGTCACTAAAGAAAACAAATTATATACCGTTAGTTATTAATTTAGGGTGAGTGTCATCAGGAATCTTATCATTAATGTTGATTAACAGATATTGCATTTAATGGTCTAGTTTGTCAGTACATGGTGTTAATATCAAGGATATTTCAGGTTCAACAGTGATGACATGTATTGCAGTGTTAATTGACRTCAGATGAACATCAGTCTTACTGTGGTTTTCCCTTTTCTGGACGCTGGYACTGCGAACTTTAATGGTCATTAGCTGTTTTTGCTCCCCTCAATCAAAATTCTGAAGTAAACGAAGTGCTTTTGTGACTCCTCCCACAAAACCGAACCAAGTCCGAAAGTCTTGATTATCTGCAGTTTCCCTGTACATCTTCAAGATTTTGTGCACAAATGTCTTTCCAACAGATCACAGTACTTGGGGAATGTGGTCGACATGCATCTAAACAATTCTCCATCAAAGATCAGAGCTAAACTCATGAGAAATTGTTTTTCTATTTTACCCACAAGAAACAAACAACATGGCAGACTGTCGGGCTTAGTKTGGYTTTGTGGGAGGAGTCACAAAAGCACTTCGTTTACTTCAGAATTTTGATTGACGGGAGCAAAAACAGCAAATGACTGTTAACTTTTGCAGTGCTAGAGTTTGCAGAAAATGGAAAACCGCAGTAAATAAGACTTACAGATAACAAAATATCAAATGTCAGAGCACACTTTTCTTCTGGCGAAGCAGTGTTAAATATAGAGCAAAAGAGRAGAACCAAGACAGAATCATGAGCATAATTCTAATACTCTTGCTACTGACAAATGACAGCAGCTCATCATTCTTACATTGAGGATTTCTACTTTAAGGCAGGTCATATATTTCCCTCTTTATAAAAGTCTTTTAATTTGCAAAACATAAGTACAATATTATTTTTTGCTATTACCTTTAGTGTTAGAAATGCTAACAAGATAACAAGATAAATCCCGCAACACTAAAATCCTTTTTCGTGAATATAATAATCATCTATTGAGCATGCTCAATGACCCCTATCTAACAAACAGCTCAGGGTGAATAACATACCAAACTTTTTWATCTCTACAATATCATAACAATATCAAATAATATCTATAAAGGAACTATAATATCATTAAGTGTTTTTATATATAGAATTTGTATAAAAGCTGTATAAAATAGTTTTCTTTTGTATTCTTCCACTAGCTAGTGGATAAATTGTATTTAGTATCAAAAATAACATTTTATTGCAATTGCAATATTTGATTAAACCCAATGCTGCTGCATTTGTCACACTTTGCATAATTTTTGAACCTTCTACCAACTCTTTATCTAAACTTTCTCTTTGTTTATATACTCCAGGTATTTTGTATTATACTAAAAAATTAATTCACCTATTTATTAATATAAAATATTTCAATCATTTATAAAAACCTAATTTGTATAAATCTATACGTAAACTACAAGAGTTTACCACACAAAACCTTGGAAAATCACCTTTGATTTGAAAATTGTCATATTAAATTAATGAAGTGTTTTTGGTTACACAATTAACACTTCTGGCAAAATCACACTTTCTTTGGAACAATTTAGTTGAACTACTAATCATTGCCAAACATAAACTTTCAAGTTAAAAATATTTTTGATTCCTTTGAACTGAACATTTCTGGTAATTTATGATTCTTTGATAAGATCATGAGTTACACAATCAAATCAATATGTAAAATTGTAGTGCAGTAGTCCCACCTTATCTTTGATACGGATGCTCTCTAATCGGCCTTCTGGGTTTGACAGCACCTAAAAAAAACATCATCACTCCGTCATAACTGTACTCACACTCTCTATCACAAACATGAAGAAATGTTTTACTAGATACAATGACTGTACAGATTTACAATAAATTACACCTTGACAAGATTATAGTCTTTCTGAATTGGATAAGTGAGCTGTTGTAATGTATGTCTAGCTACAATATACTGGCTGTATTGTAAAATGCACTGTTAAAAAAAACGAATTTATCTGGGTCAGCGACAGTTACCACAGTTACAGAATCAATGCATAACAGCAGYRTAACAAAAATATACAGAGYATGGTATAGTATATGCATGTACATGGGAAGGGACGATTGCCCACAAGTTGATTTGTTTTCAATGCTGTTTCATTTTAGTTGTGCAAGTAAATAACATGAWTGTGAAGAGAACGTGGGCATCCCCCATTTTAGAATGTCTATAAGACAGGAATCCATGAAATAAAGTGTAATAGTCTTAGCTTAAACATTTAAGATAGCCATCTAATATGTATTGAAGGTCAGCATGAAAAAGATTTTGAACAAATTTGCAATAACTATATAGAAATTGGTAAGCTTGGGTGTAGGTTTTAGTAACATAAGAATTTTTCCGAGGCAGGGCTGTTAACCCTACGCTCAACCCCCAACCTGGAGGACCAGAGGATCACACTTTAAAGAGGGGGTGAAGGCCTTATGCGCCTACTGGCACAAAGAGTTATGATGATGATGATATAGAAATTTAATCAGTTCTGTATTATTATGTGAGATATGCTTATTCATCACATCCACCTGTCAGATGTATATTTATTTATTAGTTCATTAATGTCTTTTGTACATTTTAATATGTCTGTCATAATACTTGCCTTACCTAGTATTGATGGTTCAATTAATGCATGGTAGTCTAGTACTGTTCCTGGACGAGCTGCTGCATATGGGAATTCAAGGCCTGTCAGTTGTGTGTGGTAAGCACCAGGCACTGCAAGAAAATGGATCCAGGTTAATATTATAGCTTACACAACGAGGTAACTTATGGGGGATCGCTGATTTCTCTTGAACATTTTTTGCAATTAGTCACAAACATGACTATTTCAGTCAATCTGTTAACCAGACACATTGCCATCTTAGTCAAGCATATATTGCTTTGTGTAAAAAGGAGCATGTCTTCAAATAATCTGACAGAAAAATTCAATGCCAAACAATATGTTATCCAAACTTTTCTACCAAACTATGAAGAAAGGAATTTCATATTCCTCAATACCTTATTTGTGACAAAAGAGTTTCACCTGGTTAACACAATCAACAACACAGATCACGCTATGGTATATGACAGGAAGATTTGAGGTCTATCTTACCTGGATGCCTTGTTAACTGATAACCAGCTAAACCAGGATGTACTGGCATACCTAATAAACCTCCTGGTACGACAGGTGGACTGGTACCTAAACAACAAATCATACTAGTCAAACCTGTTCTAATACAGGTTTTCTTTTAATCTGATAATGAGATGTACAACACATATATTTATTTATTTCAAAATGTTTGTCATTAATGAAGTCATTGGATTGTGACAAGAAGTCATTYCTGGTACACTTGGAGCAATCCTCATGAGAACCCAATGCAACAGCAGATCAGTGTTAGTACAGCCATCATGGGATCAAAAGCTTTTGGGTCCCAGGTATGAGTTGAATTTTTTTAACACATTTGTTCCGTTTAATCTAAGCATATCAGAACTGATGCCAAACCAATGAAGTTTGAATTTGCTTGTACACTTATTTGATATTATATTCAGAGAAGACCAAAAATCCTAATAATAATAATAATAATTAATAATAATCCTAATAATTTCCCGTTGTACATTTCGCCTGGTCTTCCTGTGTAGCGATGCAAACAATGTTCATAGAAAATAGAATATGAGATATCACGATTACCTGCAAGACCTGGCTCCTTAAACGTCCCATTTAATAATGCAAGATCTTTTAATTGTTTCTTCTTGATTTCATCTTCTCCTTCCTCCTTCAGATAAAAATAATCATCATTGACAAGAACATTACCATAGCTGTAAAAATGTAATTTGCACACTTTGCAATGCCTATGCAATTGGAATGTTGCATAATGACTGCTTGCTTCATTGTTGATGGTAATTCCTACTGCCTGACATTCATAAAGATTCATTATTGTGGCACCAATATCCGAGTTTCAAATGGATTGAGTTGAGGACACTACAACCAGGACCTCTTGACTAATTTGATAAGGAAGCTGCCCTATTGCATCTTTTAGAGTTCATGATTCAGCAGTAGCACATCATCTGGCTACTTTTTCTAAACCAAATTTCTTGTTTTTTAAGAAAGCCAACTTGAAGTAAGTATGTCTAATTTTTTTTCTGATTGGCTGGTTTTGGTAGTTTTGGTTCAGGCTGCATTTACTTCAAATCATTCTACAAGCAGACTACTTGATACCTACCACTGGCCGTAATAGTTCTCGTACTTTATCTACAGCTTTTTGTAATCTAGCGATGCATCTGTCTTCTGTGTCTTCTACTGATATTAACACATGTAAGTCTTCGTCTAGGTGTTCATAGTTTGGTTGACCTCGTTTTTCTTCTTCCTGATATCAAATTAGGTTAGAGTAAAAAACAATTAGACAAACAAACCCCTAATGAACAACCCCTAATGAACAACCCCTAATGAACAACCCACATCATGCTTTTGTTTGATCACAAAGCGCTAACTCACGAAAGCCTCACGAAACGCCTTGATTAATGAACTCAGGGAAATTGGGCTCAAGATTTCAGTGTAAAATCTTCTGTTTTTGAAAATGACCAAACTCTTAGGTCATAATATTTAAACCTAACCTTAAAGGGACCTGGTTTGTGTATGAACTATTATAACATGAAATATTGTTGTTTTTTTGGCAGATTAATGGACCTGGAACTGCCTGTTGACAGCATGGAAACTGCTACAATACACTGATAACAATCAGTAAATATCAACCTAAATGAACAAATTACATCTTTCATGACACTATTCTGTGATGTTATAACATAATACAGAATCTAAGATATTCTTTTTCAACTATTTTATGATGAACTAACCAGTTCAAATGTCTGGTTATAAATTCCTTCTATAGTTACTAATGCTATTAAATGATGGTGTCCTTTGATGATATCATCAACCATAGCTTTGTACAATAATTGATATAAATACTTTTATTATGTGAAAGACACCTGCTATGGTCAAGTGAAAGCTGAGTTATCAGATGATTCATGGTATTGCCTCATCATAGAATGAATATCTTTCATACTAGCCTGTGTTACATGTAACACTGGCTACTTTCATACTGGCCAGAGTTTTCATTAAATAAAAAAGAAATTATTATCTTATTATATAGAAAGTATCATAGTTATAGCATTAATTCATAAAAATAATATTGATAACCATTAGAATAATGATAACAAGAATAACTGCAAATAATAATAACATCAAATGAAACTGACAGATCTAAAAGTTAAGAGCTTGTAAGTGCTGTCTCACTTATTCCGTAGTAAGAATACTCTAAGAATAAGGGCCCTATCACAACCTAATGGACTTTTTATACTAACAATTTACACAGCCTGGGGCAAAGAAATGTCATAAGAAAAACATAACAAATGAATCTCAGTAGAAAACAAACCACTTACAACGTATACAAGTGACTGTTCTTATTTTTAAACAATTTATGCTAGTATATTTTGTCCAAATAAAGTCAAAAAATTCTCAATTCACATTAATAGTTATTTTCATGTCTTTGCCAAGAACTTTTTAACAAATAGGCCTGAAATATCAAAGTTGTTAGCCTTCTTTTGATATTAAAACCTGACACATTATCCAAGACAATTTTAGGATCTTCATTTTTTAAGATATTGTTCCTTAAGGGCAGGAAATAAAAAAGGAAATGTTTATTTGATTGTTAGAAATGATGACATTAACAATAATATGCATTGTACCTTAAGGATAAAATGCTATTAGGCAATAGCCTGTCAGTCCTAACACTGAAAGCTTTACAAGTCCATGAAGCCAAATAAAGCAAAGCAGTAGAAAACTTTACAAAAATATTATCATGAAACAAGTCACGTTTGCTAACTTGTTTTGTTCTAAATGTACTATATCAAATATCATGCCACCAACACAACCAATCAGTACACATGAAGGTACCATTAGTATGTTGAGACACACTGAAAGCAATTGAGATGATAAAATAAACAGAATAAAAGTCAATTTTGGTTTGAATTACACAAGTTTGGTGTGCATCATGAACGTTCCAAGACTGTTTTGACTGTTTCACTTTAGTATTTTACAGTTTTATATAATTAGACCTCTCAAACTTATCCCCAACAATACAATGACCTCTTTACCTTATGAACTCTTAGGCCTTATTCATGGCACAAATAATAGTACGGTATCCCTTTTAAATAATTTAATAGTGTAAAACAGAAAGAGATATTCATACCACTTTTTTATCTTTCATGGAGCCTTTGCCTCTGACTAACAACTTGCAGCCTGTTTGACTTTCTATCTCTCTTAACGTCATCCCTCTTGGTCCTATCACACGGCCTACAAAATTGAACTATAACACACCAACATTAATAACTCATATGATCAAACAACCAACCAATACATAAAAACAACACATCAATCAACCAACCAACACATCAATCAATCAACCAATACAACAATCAATTAACGAATACATCAATCAACCAACCAACACACCAATCAAAACACACATCAAACAATCAACCAACACATCAATCAATCAATACATCAAACAATCAACCAACACATCAATCAACCAACACATCAAACAATCAACCAACACATCAAACAATCAACCAACACATCAAACAATCAACCAACACATCAATCAACCAACACACCAATGAATCAACCAACACAATCTGTCAATCAACCAACACAATCTGTCAATCAACCAACACAATCTGTCAATCAACCAACACAATCTGTCAATCAACCAAAAAACCAACACATCAATCATCAATAATCCTATCATAAATCATGAAAATAGTAAACATTCTAGATTACAACAAACCTTTGGAAACTCTTTAACAGGTGCAAAGACCTTCTCTGTGAGTTTGACCCTTGGACCAGCAGGGGCAGGTAACTGTATGTCTGCTGAGCTTGTCTCAACGCCATTAGCCATACCATGGAATAATTCATTTCTTGTTTTGCTGATTTCTAGAAAACAAACAAAAAACAGACTTTGAAAATCAAAGTTCACACTTCCTATGACAGCAAATAACTGGGTGACCTGGAATCTAGTCAAGGGGACTTCATCATACTAATAATACAGCTAATAATCCAATGGACTTTGCCAAGTGCTGGGCCAATGTAGATGACCCTTGGCCAAATAATCCAGTTTCGAATTCTCCAATGCTCTGTGTTAGCCTCTTTTATGCGCAAAATATTCGTAATTGTTAGAATAAAAGTGTGAGATTTCAAATCAATTCTATTGTCTTTCTTTTCAAATTCCATGCRTTTTCTCGGGCTATCAATGAAACAAAAGAATATGTTGCTTGGTTTTGAGGCTAACACAGAGCAAACACAGAGATAGAAATTGGAGTATTGGCTTCGGTTCACAGGCAAGATACATATTTTCACTAATCAAGCCCAATTAAAAAGAAAACTTTATGCTGTACCCTAATACATGATTTTTTTATACTTTAAAAAATTCCATCCTAATGATTTTTAAATGGAATTCATTCSATATTGCAGAGCTTGCAAGTGAGTTGCAAGTATTTCACAACGATGCTTATGAATGGGAGCTATTTTGGAAACAGATCTGTTGCAATAGAAACAAAATCAGCTCTTATTTCTACATTTAAATCAAATTAAACCCCCTTGTTCTTCCTTCAAGGAAATAACATTGTTCTGATCTGATATTATCACTTTAGGAATGCGAGTTTATCCACTCATTTTTGGATATGTCAAAATAAGGAGTACTTCTACCTATTTTCTTGATTATTTGTAAGGGTCTTTTAATATAAATGTTGGTCGCCATCATGTAGGTGAACCRACCATCTCAAARAKCCAAAWACAAAATAGTGAGAGWATAAAACAACAAGACTACGAACAAAGYTRTGAGATGAATTATAGCACTTTTACACAAKGCCACCAACAATAATGTCATCTTTGTATTCAAATCAAAAAAGACAATATTGACARYTTCYCAATAGAAGGCTTGCCACTTGTTTTCTTGTCAAGAAATCAAGAAATTGTTGTCAGTCCTAAATCTTACTGTAAATTTTGTAGGAATATAAATCTCAAAAGAGAATATTCAAATCAGAATCAAAAATGAGACTATGTAGGACTTAATGTAAAAATATCAAAAAACTAAAGATATTACATATTATAAAATTATTATATAGTTAAGAAAAATAATCCCTGCTGCTATATCATATCCTAGGGATGTAGACTTTAAATTATAGAATTTACAAACTGTTAAATAATGTTAACTCCAAAAGAGGATTTGGCTCTAAGTGATGTTGTTTTAAATAAAGAACATCAAATACAAAAACCAAAAATATTTTGAAGCAAAACAACATACATGTACTTTCATACTCCATACTCAGAAAGCTGTATACAGTTACTAATTGTGCTTTTTTAACAAGAATATATTGATTGAAAATAAGAAATTGATGTAAAAAGTGATATGTTAAAGCTATTGTTTGACAGCTAAAAGGCAAACAATGCCTTGATATTTGCTTTGATTCTTATTCAAATTTCTACATTTGATTTGTGTTTTTCTTCAGAAACAACAAAGATGCTTTCACATTTGAGCTTGGTAGGAGAACTAGTCAGTCATTCAATTAATTGAAGCACTATTTTAAACGTGGGAAGCTTGCAKTAATTGAGCAAAGTTAAAAAATATACAAGACAGGAAAATACACTTATAAAAGAGAAGATCCCTTGCTGAGATTGCACCAGATGGCTTGGAATTCACGCAATTTGTTCRAATTTTTAATTGGACAGTTTGCTTGATAATATTTTTAAAAATGTCAACATAACTTTGACTGGGTTTAAAATATAAATCATAAGACTCTAAAATGATTTGCTAATATCAGAATTAAATGTCTGTAAGGGCTCTCAAAGGTTTAATGCTTTCCATGTCTAACATAAGAATGGAAATAGAGTGAGAAATAATAGTATACGGAATGGAAAAACAACAGATAACATGTAGAAACTGGTCTGCCCTATCTATCATCCCTGTCTGATCTTGAATCTCTCATAAGATTCTCATCCTTAATCAAAGGTCTTGTTTTTCAAGTCATGTGAATTGTAACCTCCTACCTTTGCCCTAACCCTACCCTACTGCAAGGCCTCATTCRACAGCTGCTAGGGGCATTGTGTGTGCTTAAAATATTCAATTCGGTAGCAGTGTTTACAATCACAAATCACCCCTTCATAGCAAGATCTTCTTTTTTATCCTCAGAAGGAAAAGACAGCCATAGGATAAAAACAGTAAAAAGATCCTCAGAATGATGAATATAAGTTATAACAAACAATGTTTTAAGAAATAAGACCTGCTCTTCTATCATAATAATGAATAAAGTGTAAAAAGGTTTTAAATGCTTGAAAACTCTCAAATGTTATGATGAATGACAATTAAAGGTTGATATTTTCTAGACTGTCATCCTCACAGTAATCATATCTTTTACTTATTAAAATTGACATTTAGACAAAAAGGCTTTTATACAAAAAATAAATAAAAATACTCCTCCATTAATTTGACTCAAGTAAAATCATCATGTTTGTAATGAAGAATAACTAACATTTTCACGTAAAATTAAAGAAAAACAATGAAAAATACAGATAAACCAACATGTTTAGAAGTCAAGCAGGATACAAAATAACAAATTAATAAATTTTATGTTAAATTCTACATCAATAATAAGCTAAGAAATGAAATAGTGGATGTTGTTTTCCATGAAGCAGGTTAAAAAAAATAGCCAAAATACTACAAAAATATAATCAATCAAAGTTTGAACTGTGGTTTTACAATATTATGAATACAAAGCAATCTTGATAAAGAGGAGGCAACATAATATTTTATGAATCATACCAAATAATCCCACCTAAAACAACCATCATATTTGTACAATTGTAAAACTCATTAGAAATTTTTMGACCCAAGCAGGTTCCCCAATTTACTGTAAAATAACCGAAATTGTATGTTATGAAAACTGAAAATTTTCACTTTGTAACACTCTTCCCAGCACTTACTCCTGTGGTTTGACACATAAAAATCCTTGAGCACTTTAGATAAAGGCAGTGGTGTTAAAATTTATACTTCTTCCAATAAATTACTTTTAGCCGAAATGGATTTTTAAAATTTCGGAAAAATAATAAATAAACATCTGTATTAGCTTGGTAGCGAAGAAAAAGGGCAGAAATAAGAGAATATAAAACCACATTATTGCTTAAGACAAATTCAAAATGTCATGTTCATTTTACAGTCGCTCTATTTTTCAATTAAAATATAGCATTTTTTCATCATGTCCATGGAAGCTTGGGATATTTTCGCAGCAAGAAAGAGAAACTATTTGTCAAGCTGTGTGCAAGTAGCGTCATATTTCTTTTATAAAACGGCAAAATTAAGATTTTATAAACCCGCAAGATAACACGACATCAATGTAACCACCGTGACAAAATRTGACTTCTGAGGGAGAGTTTTTCAGTTGTCATGCAGGTGGCGCTTTCAAATCATGGCAAAACAACTTTCTTGCTTTTAGAGATCAACGAATTCCAAAATATTATTTTACAGAGAGATCAAAGTGCATKCTGATCTTGAATCAACACGCAGAAACGCGTTAAATCCAACTCGGACGCGATGTTTAAGATGAAATTTTAGGAAAATATTGGTAACGTTACAATGTAACGACAAGGGTTCGCCTTCTTGTTTTGTAATAATTTCAAAGACCAGAACACTTCGTGTTATTAAAATGTTTGAACAGAGGCTTGAACAGAGGCTTCCAACGCGGATTGTGCCACAATCACCTCGTGTTCATCAACACGACTTGATAAGGCACATAGAGGAGAGCTTTTACTCATGACAAAATAAGCATTCTAGACATATTTCAAATTAACTAGCGTTTTAGACTCTCCTAGATCTAACCACGATACAGCATTGAAAAGCCCTCAAAAACATTTATCGCAAATCACAACATGCAGAAAAGGCGCAGAAAATTCAATAAACATTCCGCAATGGAAAATCCTTATGAGGCCATGAATATACGAAAAACTTTGATAGATCAGAGAACTTCTGCCAAACCACCTTATGATCCCTCTCAATACGACTCGTAATTGTACTTGGACTAATTACTATATGGTAAAAACATCTGGAAGATCTGGGAGATGAAAAAAACGAGGGTCATTTTACAGCATTCGCAGAGAATTTAGATGGCAATATTCATCAGTGCGTTTTGCTACAGTGAAGCGGAACGGCTACTTTGTATATTTCATGGATGAAAGACTATGTTTCCACGCGAACCAAATCGTTTAGGCTAGCGAGAATTCAAAACAGAAAACCCGCAACAGCGATTTGTGTCAATGAATCGAGAATCGCGCAAACCACGGCTTTGCCAACTAATGGAAATGGTTGGTTGTTGATGCAGATCAAGAGAGGCATCCGGCCTGTTCTCGCCGCAACTGATAATGTATTGCTCAACTTATTTCAATCAAAAGAACCCATTCTTTTGTCAATATTTCAAACCCAAAAACATCAACAARCACATATTGGGACCAGAAAAGGTGTTATTTAAACCGATATTTCGGTTTTAAAGTGATTTTTTTCTAAATCATTGAATAATACGGGAACAACGTATATGAAATATTCATTCGTCTCCAACTGTGATCGGAGAATTGCTAGAAGGACAAAAACTATTCAAACATAAACAAAATACGACTTTTCGCTGGCTGGTTTCGTTGTTTTGGTTTAAAACACAAATATCAAAAACCAAGTTCTTCTGCTTCAGAAACAGAGTCTATGGATTGAAAACCTCGCAGCGTATTCCAACTCAGATTTTACTGATTGCCACGCTGCACTAAGGAAAAAAAACACTAAAATAATTCAAAAGTTACTTAGAACCAACCTGGATATGACTGGCTTTCATCAGCGAAGCTCTCGCCTTCAAACAAGGCTTTTACAAACACAAGCGTCGTTCGAGCAAACAAAATTCATCAGGCACCATTTTGTTCGGGACGGATTCCATCTTGGTGAAGTTGAGCCAATCGCCGTATTACTTAACCCCGAAATACGTTAGAAATTACCCTAAGTTGTTACATTAGACGCTGGTGCAGATTATTGATGTTGAAATGGCGATTATTTATCGTAAACGAAGGGTTATTATTATAATTATAATAAGAAGTTATAGTTATACTACTTTTCTCGTAGTAGCCATACCTTGGTCTAGCAAACGTTCTGCATGTAGAAAGATCTTTGGCATTTTGGCCACTGTAGTTTTATCGTTGAGCAATTCGTTAAGGTATTCAGTTGATGCAGGGTAAGACATGGTTGCAATTAGGGTTAGTTACAAAATAAAACACCAAAAAAACAGTGGACAGCTCGTACGTACCAGCCTACGCTGGGGTCTTCGACATGTGCACTATTGCCAAGGAAACTGGGTACGAACACTAATCCTACTCATTACCATAAAAAGAGGGAAACTGAAACGACCCTTTCATTTGATTGTCATATGAATTTCAAATTACTTAAAAATACAGCATCGACGAAAACATTATATTAGGATGAATCAAGGTATCCCTTTCAAATCTCAGCTGGAGAACTAAGTTAATTATAAGAAAAGCTATACATTTTTTTTATATCTAAGGAATTATGGGTAAAAGTATTTGCCGCATTTTCTGACCAGCGGATTATGATTCTAAAACAAAATGGCGGCCGAAGGTGATAAAGCTTTTTCATCGTTTATGAC